GCCGGATCCCGAGTGTTCACTTTTGTTAACTGCTCTCCGCCCCGTGCCAGCTCCGCCGCCGAGCGGACGTGGAGGGCGCGCCTCTGCCCCGCCGGCGCCCAGACGCTTTGGGGTTTCCTGCCTTGCGAGTAAGGGGGGGCGGTCTGCGGTTTTGGCGGGAGGGCTCCGGGCAGACTCCGGGAGGCCCTCTCGCCACATAGTGTGCCCTGGGGGGCAGTGTGGGGTGAACCCGTCCAGAAGGAAGACCAAGAATCCACAGAGAGTGGGGGAAACCTGGCCGGATTGGGGCCTCACCTGGAAAAGTAAACCAAAAATGCTGAAGATAAATTAGCCATAACCCAAGGTTGACAATATTTAGATTATGATTGCGGTCATGCGCGCGTTAGAATGACGGGAGAATCGGCTCTTTGCGATAAACGGGTCATTTTTGGAAAAGTATTTGAGGGTTTCAAACCCAAGGGTGACTCCGAAGGCTTTATTGGTGAAACAGTCCTCTCTGGACGGCCCTGGTCATTTCTCTTACAGAAGTTCTCTGCCTCTGTGGTCAGCGGCTGCTCCATTTCTAGGGCATTACTTCCATCGACTTCGTGAAATCCCACACTTTTTTTGCAAGATTTGCAGTTTCAGTCTTTTTCATTTGCTTAGCAATTGTGTGGTTAAACACTGATGGCATCTGACAGATTTTGGTGGGGATATGCGTACGATGTTCGAGAGGGAACGAATCCGAAAATGTTGCTGCCCAGGCTCCAAGGGCAGCTTAGGGTGCACCTTGGACCTGTGAGATTCAGATATAGAGCACGCAGAGAACCGGGATGTCCCCATTTTAAAGCTGGGGAAGTGGTCAGGGAGGCTGTTGGCGTGGACATACCCAAAGGCCCATAGCCACTAAGGACAGCCAGGGACCAAGAGCCCGGAGTTCCTTCCTCAATTCCCGGAGGTGGGACAGGGAGGAGGTGGAGGAGGCTGAGTTGATGGTGAACCTAAGCTCCAATTCTAACCCCTTCACAGTGGGGCCTTCCCTCTTAAGAGAGGAAGCAAAAATACTTGTCTTAAGGGCGTCTCTTTCAGGATGTGGTGTGGGGGGCGCCACCCATTCTTGGAACTAAGATGGGTGCTGATAGTTGACAGGAATTATCTGTTTTAGACCCACCCTGTGAACTGGGTGTTGTCAGGACCATGTCATAGTGAGGAAAGTGAGGTTCAGAAGTCAGGTGGCCAACCCAGGGTCACACAGCTGGGAGGGCTTAGAGACCAGATCTGACTCAGTTTACCAGTGTCACTCTTGTCCCTAAAACCACACCTCCAGGCAGTCCTCAGGATGAAGTGCTAATCTGGTGTCAGCCTCCCAGTGCCCAACCCCCAACTCAGCCCAGTGGGGTTTTTGACTGAGGCTTGTGTCAGTATTTCCCATCCTTTAGCAGTTCTCTGTCCTGTATCTCTGCCACTATTTTTGTTATCAACACTCAGCACTTGTGCCATTATTTATTTAGCTTTTTTAAAAATTATTTTACTTGTTACATATATGTATTTTAGGAAGAGGAAATTTGTATCAGCTGGGCATAAATAGAAGAAAATCATAAAAATAAATATGTAAGCAAACATCTTTAACCCAGCTAGAAACCTTTTCTTTGTTAAAAAGGAACATAATATGTACACCCATGTTCATAACAGCATTACTCACGGCTACCCAAAGCTAGACGCAACTCAAGTGACTGTTGGGTGGATGGAGAAACAAAAAGTGGTGTACACATTCAAAAGAATATTATTCAGCCTTAAAAGGAAGGAAATTCTGACTCATGCTACGGTATGGATTAACTGTAAAGACATTATGCAAACTGAAATAAGGCAGCCACGAAAGGACAAATACTGTATGACTTATGTGAGGTACCTAGAGTAGTTAAATCCATAGAGACAGAAAGTAGAATGGTGGTTGCCATTCCAAAGGTATATTACCGTAGATGCAAAAAGACAATAGGCTCAACTAAGGTAAAGCTTGACCCTTGTCAGGGAAGATTCTAACCTAGAACATCACTACCTGCCATAAACTGCTTTGAGTTAAAAGTTTTAATTTCAGCCCGGCCGGCGTATCTCAGTGATTGAGTGTCAACCTATGAACCAGGAGGTCACGGTTCGATTTCGTGGTCTGGGCACAAGCCCGAGTTTCGGGCTCAATCCTGGGTAGGGGACCTGTGGGAGGCTGTGGATCAATGACTCTCTCTCATCATTGATGTTTCTATCTCTCTCTGCCTCTCTGAAATCAATAAAAACATATATATTTTTAAAAAGTTTTAATTTCACGCCATCCTCTGTGGTTACTTTAGGTCTCTGAGTTTGTAAGGCCCACCACGCAGGCCTCCCTTGAGCTTGTTAGTATGTGGCCCCTTTTCGTCCACAGGAGCCACTGCTGACTTTTGAGCTGGGGAGTGTCTTGGCAGAGTTTCAGGATCTGGAGTGCAGGGCTAGGTGACCAGCACCCTCAACTGAGGCGAGGTCTGGTGAAGCTGGCACAGATCTGGATGGAAAATAGAAGGGCTTCAGGCTGGCGGGCAGGGCCTCTTCCCTGGTGCTGGGAGCAGCCTCCTGGGCTCCCAGACAGCCCTGGGAGGAAGGCTGCTGGTGCTGCAACCCTAGAGTTAGTCAGGAAACTCAGAAAGGAAGGACCTGGAGGTAAGAATCAGGGTGGAGGTCACAGAAAACCAAAGGTGCTGCTGACCCAGGGGGAGTGTGGTCCAAGAGTCAGGACACAGGTGCATAGGGGGCCCTGCAAAGCTTTTGCACTGCAGGTGGGGGTGGGGGGCCTGTGCTCCCCTGGAACCTCCCTGCCCTCCAAGGAGCAGCTCCCCTCTCCCTTGCCACAGAGGCCACCTGAGCTACCTGTGGGCTGTGCTTGGGCTGATGCTGGAAGGTCTCCCTCCGGCCAGGGGGAGAGAAGAGACCATGCTGGGACCTGCCTTCTCTCTCCTTGTTGCTATACCCCTTCAGCCCCAGGGGGTTAGGAGAGCACATTCCTGAGACAGAATTTTCCCAGGGAGTCTGGTTGGGGCCCAGACAAGAGAGAGCGCCGTCTCCCCACCAGCACACACAGATACCTCCCCCTGTTCCTTAGGGTCCTCTGGCGGAAGTAGCTGGTGTAGGACAGGCTTGTCCAGATCCCTGGCTCAAGGAGAAGCTGGCCAGCCTTCCAGCCCCACTGTCCTGACCATGTTTTCTGAGCTGGGCTCCCAGTGAGCCCCTTCCCCAGAGGCCTCTGCCACTGGGTAACTCCAGGTCTGGCCCTTGTCCTTTCTGAGCCTCAGGCTCCCCATCTGCGAAACATTGCCTTTCTTTAAAAAAAAAATAAAAAAGATTTTCATTGATTTCCGAGAGAGAGAGAAAAGGAGAGAGAGAAACATGGATATGTTGCCTCCCATATGCAGACCAAACCCACCACCTGAGCATGTACCCCAGCTGGGAATCAAACCAGCGACCTTTGGTGGACCAGCCGGTGTTCCAACTGAGCTGCGCTGCCAGGGCTAGCACTGCCTTTCATAAGCCCTGCACTATCCCACGAGATGTGCTGTCATTACGTTCATTTCACAGAGGGGTACTGAGGTGTCAGGCGCCCATAATCATCCAGGGCTGTAAGAGGTATGCCTGGCGTTTGAACCCAGGCTGTCCCACCCAGCCCTTGCCTGCCGTCCTTGCCATCGCCAATCTCATTGATTGTCAGGTTGGCAGGATCATTCTCCCTTTCCTTCAGATGGGGAAACTGAGGCCCAGAAAGGTGACATCCCCTCCCAAGGGTGCAGAGCTGAGGTGGGTTGGGACCCCTGCAGGGTGCCACGCTGGCCTTCCCCCTCTCCCCTCTGGCTCCAAGCGCCTCACTTGCTGCAGGCCCTGGGCCTGGAGATCAAAGGCTCTCCGCGCAGAGGAAGTAAAAAGGCTTCTCTGGGTGAAAGAAGAAGTGAAGCGAGAATGTGGTGTGCAGGCAGGGGGTGAGGAGAGCAGAGAGAAGTAAAGAGGTTTGCGGGTATGGGGTGAACAGAGCGGAGAGGCTGCCCCCGTACAGAGGTCCCTGACTTCCCCTTCCTCCTGCAGATGGCAGCGCAAGCAGCTGGACGGCAGGCAGACAGCAGCAGCCTCACAGGTCAGTCTTTCCTCTGGACCCCCCTACCCCCCACTCTCCCCAGCTTTCTGCGGGTTCCTCAGCAGGCACTGGGCATGCCCCTACCCGGGTGGTGCCAGGCTGGGGACTTCCCAGGAGCGGCAAGCTGGGCACCCGCCTTCATTCCTTTCACCAGTTTCTGGGGTCCTAGCGGCAACTTCAAATTGCGGGGAATGTGGAGATCTATGGTTTTGAAAAAAGGCAATTTAAATTAAGGGACAGTTAGGTGCTGGATTCAAATCTTAACTCCCGCCATGGGGCCTGGGGCAAGTTATTGGACCTTTCTTTTCTGGATCTGTTTCCTCGTCTGTAAAATGGGCTTCGTTCAGTCACCTGCACCTCAGGTGACAAGAGTAAGTGCCTGGCACAGAGTTTGTGCTGGGCAGATTGGAGCAGGAGCAGTTCCTCTCGGAGTGACCTGGGCATGAACATAGGGACAGAGTGTCTCAGGGAAAAGGCTCTGGTGATGGCTCAGTCTCAGACTTCCTGTTGGGCTTTGGCGTGGCCTTGCTTTCCCTACCAGGGAAATGGGCTAATAAAAGCACCTGTAAGGGCTTTTCTGCAGAGACCGTGGGGTGAGGCCGGAGGTGGGGCTCCAGCCTGTGGCTGGCAGGAGCAGCTATTTGGAAGGGACAGGTGGGGCCACATACAGGAGCAGGGCTGGCTCAGCAGACCCTGGTGCTGTTGGGGAGAGGGTGGGCTATGGGGGTACACAGCCAGCTCCGGGAGGAAGGCAGGGTTCCCACGTCTGGAGCTCAGATGTATTCCTGGCCAGGGACTTCGGGTCAGGCCTCGATTCCTGGGAGTATGGGTCATGGAAATGGTTGTTTGAGTCTCTCTCTCCCTGGGAGATAGGCTTCCTTAGCCTCATTTGACAGATGAGAAAACTCAAAGCACAGAGAGATCAAGTGACTTGCCGGTGTCACACCCCAGGCACGGAACACCGGAACCGGTTATCAAATTTGCATCCTCCAAAGGCCCTGCTCTGTGCTCCAAAGGTCTCCTTATCTCTCTGTTGGCTAAATAGGACCTTACTCATCCACACAGCAGCTCAGCCACCCAGCCACCACTGGGAGGCTGCCTTGCAGCGGGGACAGCATCCGACTTGGAGTCTGGACCACTGGGCTGCTGTAGAACTTCAGGCGCACTCCTGTGTGGTATTTAGTTTCCCCACGTCCGTTGGAACCATCCTGGAAGTCAGGTCAGGAATGCCTGTTTCCCAAGGGCCCTACATTGTGAATGGCAGGGTGATGGGTTGATGGTGACAGCCAAGGGTGTGGGGTGGCGCTGGGTGGGGCTTCTGGAGGGATGGAGATGGAGATTGGAGGTTGCAGGGAGAAGTGAAGGTGATGGTTTGCTCCTGGGAGAGGGGATGGAAGCCGCAGCTTCTATTTGGAGGGCCTAGGGAGGCGTCACTTCTGCTTTGGCCTGATTTCCCCAGCCTGGTGGTGAGGTTAGTCCCTTCTTCCCTCTGTGTGCGCCTGGGACCCAGCCTTAAGGTGCAGGGACCCTGGACATCAAATCCACACCACTGCCTGGGCCTCAGTTTCCCCATTCATGCTGTGAGAGGGTGGACAAGATGGCCTAAGGTCTTTTCTGCAGGTCCTCAGCTTTCTCACCTGAACCATTTCAGACCTTTCAGCGGGTTCGTTCAGTGGCTTCCTTTCACACCTTTGCCCTCATCTCTTCTGTGAGGTTCTGAGAGGGTAACTGAGTTGCCCGAGGTAACACAGCACAGCCAAATAAATAAGAGCCTAGCACTCCACGACTCCAAAGTCTCCATTCTCTTTTAAAATAAATACATATGTTAATACACAATTGAAGACAAATGGATGACCACTGGGAAAAAAAACCAGAATACGTATCTTGCGCTGTACTCCAGATTCAACACAAATGGACTGGAGACTTTGNAATACAATTGTGTTAATACACAATTGAAGACAAATGGATGACCACTGGGAAAAAAAACCAGAATACGTATCTTGCGCTGTACTCCAGATTCAACACAAATGGACTGGAGACTTTGATGTAAAAATGAAACTGTAAAAGTACTAGAAGAAACTTAAGAGAATTCCTTCATGATATTAAAGTGGGGAAGGCTTTTCTATCTATGACTCAAAATCCAGAAGCCCAAACAGACTGCTAATTTTTATTACAGCTGCTGGTGGGAGGGTGGTGAGGTAGGGGGAGTGTATGGAAGGGTAGAGCAAAAAAGAAGAAAAAGAGAAAAAACGGACACAGACAAAAAAATATATATATATTTTCATGTGGCAAAAAGACCACTTGTAATGTCAAAAGGCAAAAAAGACAAACTGGGATAAATATTTACAACTCAAATAATAAGCAAAGAGCTAATTTTCCTATTAGGTTAAGATTTTCTAGGAGCTGATAAGGAAAAGGCTGGGCCACTATAAGAATGGGCAGCCCCGGCTGGGTGGCTCAGCTGGTTGGAGTGTCGTTCTGTACACCGAAAGGTGGTGGGTTCAATTCCTGGTCGGGGCACATACCTAGGTTTCGGGTTTGAACCCTGGTCCGGGTCCATACAGGACAGAGATAGGAACACTGATGTAAGAGAGAAACGTTGGTCGGTTGCCTCCCATACGCACCCTGACCAGGGATCAAACCCACAACCTGGGCATGTGCCCTGACTGGGAATGGAACTGGCGACCTTTCAGTGCCTGGGCCTGTGCTCAACCAGCTGAGCCACACAGGCCAGGGCGCTGCTCTGCTTCTCTTCTACATGGCTATCCACATCATAATTTTTAATTGACAGCCCATCGTACTGTATTTTTTTGACTTTTAATTTTGAAAAGTTATGAATTCACAGGAGGCTGCAAAAAAAAAAAGTATAGAAAGGTTTCATGTGTGTTTCACTCAGTTTTCTCCCATGGTAACCTCTTGCTTACCTATAGTACAGTATCAAAACCAGGAAATCGACTTTGGTACGATTTACACACTTTATTAGGAGCATCAGTTTTATACGCTTTCGTTTGCGTGTGTGTGTGTGTGTTTCGTTTTATGCAATTTCCTGACGTAATTCTTCTAACCAAAACCACAATCAAGATACAAAGCTAATTCATCACTACAAGGTTTCCTTGAGCTGCCCCTTTGCAGACACATGCCCTTCAAACCTCCCTCACCCTTGGCGATCACTAATCTGTTCTTCATCTCTATAATTTTGTTATTTCAAGAAAGTTATCTAACTGGAATCCAACAGTATACAATATTTTGAGATTACTGATTTTTTTTGGGGGGGGGGCATAATTCTGTGGAGACCCATCCAAGTTGTATCAATCATTTTTTTTTCCAGTTGCTGAGTTGTATTTCACAGCATGGATGGCCCCCAGTGTGTTTAACCGTTCCCCCATTGCAGGGACATTGGGACCGGTTTCAATGTGAGGTTACTGCGAACAAAGCTGCTATGAAGTTCATGTTGTGTGAACATGAATTTTTATTTCTCTGGGATAAATGCCCAGATGTGCAATGGCTGGGTCATATGATAGGTGCATGTGTAGTTTTATGAAACTGCCACACTGTTTTCCAAAGTGGCATTGAGCTGTAATTTATTTAACTATTTCTCTATGGATAGACATTTACATAGTTTCCACTCTCCTTCATGCTTAACAACGGTATTATAAATATCTCTCTGTGTACATTCCTGGCTTGCCCTGTTATTTCCACAGAATAAGTTCATGAAAATGGGTTTCCTGGGTCAGAGGATAATCAGAATGAAAAGTTTGTATGCGCCACCATCTTTATTTGCATTTCCCTAAGGACTTCCCTTGGTGTTATTTCTAAGAATCTTTGCCTAACCCAAAGTCAGAAAGGTTTTCTCCTTTTTTTTCCTAGAAATTTTATAGCTTGTTTTTATACCTCCATCTATGATCCATTTTGAGTTAAATTTTGTATATGCTGCAAGGTATGGATCCAAGGTCTTTTTATTTTTTCACATGGAAAATCCAATTATTCCAGAACCATTTATTGGAAAGGCTATCTCCTCTCCATCAAATTACTTTTGCATCTTTGTAAAAAGTGAATTTATCATATTTGCCTGGGTATACTTTGGACTCTCTGTTCTGCCTCCTTCATCTGTGTGTCTGTCCTTACGCCAGTAACACACTATCTTGATAATTGTAGCTTTATAGTAAGTAAGCCTTGAAATCGGTAGTGCGAGTCTTCCAACTTTGTTCTTCTTTTTCAAAATTATTTTGGCTATTCTAGGTCCTTTGCTTTTTAATGCAAATTTTAGAATCAGCTTGTCAGTTTCTACAGAATATCCTGCAGGGCTTTGCATTTGGGTTTGATTTGCATTCACGAGGGGTATTGGCCTGCAGTTCTCTTTTCTCGTAATGTCCACGGCTGTTTCTGGCGCTACAGGAATATTGGCATACGATGAGTTTGGAGGCATTCCTGCCTCCTTTATTTTCTGAAAGGGTATGTCTAGGGTCTTGTTATTGCTTTCTTTGTCTTTTATTTTTTTGGAAGCATTTTTTGTAGATTTGGTATTATCGTTTTTTAAAATATGTTTTTATTGATTTGAGAGAGAGGAAGGGAGAGGAAAAGAGAGAGAGTGCATGGGACGTCCACTCAACCAACTGAACCACACCGGCCAGGGTGGTATTATAACTTTCTTAATTGTTTGAAAATATTAACCAATGAAGCTGTTTAGGCCAAATGCTTTCTTTGTGGGAAGGCTTCTTTTTATTTTTCAATTACAGTTGACATTCAATGTTACATTAGTTTCAGATGTACAGCATAGTGGTTAGACATTTATATAATTTACAAAGTGTTCCCCCCAATAAGTCCAACACCCCCATGCCACCATATATAGTATTGCAAAATTATTGATTATGTTTCCTGTGTTGTGCTTTATATCCCTGTGTGGGGAAGTATTTAAACTACTATTTCAATTCCTTTAATAAATAATTGACTATTAATGTTATCAGTTTCTTCTTGAGTAAGCTTTAATAGTTTGTGTCTTCCAAGGAATTTTTCCATTTCATCTAAGTTATATAATTTATTAGCATAAATTGTTAATATTATTCCCTTATCTTTTTAATGTCATTAGGTTCTATAGTGAAAGCCTCTCTTTTATTGTTGATACTGGTAATTGTGCCTTCTTTCTTTTTTTCTTGATCATTCTGGCTAGAGATTTATCAACCTTATAGTTCCAACATTTTGGTCATCTCTGGGTCTGGCTCTGTTGCCTCTTTTATCTCTTTACAATTAGTCTTTTCTTCTTCTTGATTTTATGTTATATGCGATAATCTTTGATGAAATACCAGGCATTGTGTGTAAAAGAACAGTAGTGAGTGAGGTAAATGATATTTATACCTAGAAACGGGCATATTTCTTATGTTACAGCCTTAGTATACGTTATTGAGTCGTTCTAGTCTGTAGGTGATTTGGGTTTAGGTTTTGTTGTTGCCATAGTTACCTCTGTCTTGTATTGCGGGAGGGGTCTTGGGTGTGAGTGAGGTTCCTACCTTTTCCCCAGCAGCAGTAGCCCTCTGCTTTTTACCAGTGCAAAATCCTGGGCGCTATCGGGTTTCCTGCTCTTTGTCAGTGCAGGGTCTGTATATAATGGGTTTTTCTCCCCCAGAGGCAGCAGACCTTTGCCTGGTAGCAGGTCAGGGACCTGTGGGATGAGGGTGTTACGTCAGAGGGAGGCTAGGGTGCAGAGGTCTGTCTCTAGTAGCAGCCAGTCGCCACCTTGTACTCACGCACCTTACACTCAGAGCTCGGATGGCTGCTCCAGGTACTCCTGCTCCACCCTCAACCCTTGGCAGGTCCTGCTTTGTGGCCTCCTAGTTTTGCCAACATCACTCATCTGCTGTTGTCTTGTCATTGTTGTGTCTTTGCGGTTTGATGTCTATTTTACGCACTCACTCTCATTTTAGTGAAGCTTCTGAGGATAGCCATACATTTGCTGCCCTTACAGAACTTTATGAGTTCGTTTTAAAACCGAGGGAAATGAGGGCTGAGAGGGCCAGGTCCTTGCACAAAGTCACATGGTGGGTGAACGACGGGGTTGGACAGGGTTATATGTCGCTGGCTTCCAAGCAGCTTCCCCCTGGGTGAGGTCAGGGCTGTGAGGAAAGCCCCCAGCAAGACCATTTTGGCGAAGGGTGGAGTGACTCAGGCACAGCTGTTAGTGGCAGGCGTTACCAACTGGTCAAGAATTCTGGGTTCACAGAGTTCTGGCTTTGGGCTGCTTTGAGCAAAGCACGATCTCTAGGTCCCTGAGCCTCGGTTTCCTCATCTGTAAAATGCAGGAGTAATGAGAGTCAAAGAAGGTGCTGCTTGTCCTATCCTTGGGATATGCCAGACGCCAAGAAGTTAGAGGTCACCCTTTGACCTTGATGATGACAGCGTTCCCCTTTTCCAGGACAGGAGCTGGTTCTTGGGGAAGACCTGGCTCAGGACATGGATTGCCATACCGCCCTTTTCCTCTGCCTAAGTCTCGTGACTTCTCAGAGTGGGGCAGCAGGTAAGAGGGCTCTGCTAGCCCAGAGCCCTGGCTGTGATGGGCAAGGGGCAGGCCTCAGACCAAGGGAGATTGAAAGGGGGCACTTAGGCCTCCTGGGGCAGCAGCAAGGTGAACTAGTATCTCAGGCTGGGGTGGAAGGCCCACAGGCCATGGGGCTTGGGGGCAGCTGTGGACAGAAGTTGAGGTGGGGATCTGACTCGCTCCCCACAGAGGCAGCCCAAGAACCCCAGCAGTGGATGGAGAGAATGGAGGCGGCACTAAGGGGACGGAACTGGATTAATTCTGCTGAGTGAGTTGTGTGTCCCTCCTCGCCTACCTAGAGGCAGCTGTGCCTCCCATTCCCAGCTTGCGCCTTGAATCAGTGGTCCAGAATTGGTCTAGTATAGACCATTAATTCATTTATTTGACATGTATTTATTGAGTACCTACTATGTGCCTGACACTAGGCTCTGGAGATGCAGGATAGACATGTCTCTCTGCCCTCATCAAGTTTACTGTCTGGCTGGGGGCCCTGAACCATGGATGTCAGGAAACTAGGTGCAGATTCCTGGGTCTCTGTGCATATTTCTTGGAAGGGGCTCGAAAACTTGGGCTGGGATCTCTAGAGTCTGTGACCCAAAGGCCAAGCAACTCTGAGTGAGAGGCCAATGCTGATGGCTGGTCAGGAAAGCCTGGGGACTAGGGGGTACTTCAATCAGTCAAAAGGGAACAGCCAAGGAAGGCTTCCTGGAGGAAGTGTCAACAAACTAGGACCTGAACAAGAGTTAATCAGAAGGAAATGAGTGGGGTGGGGAGGTAAGAGTGTGCCAGGGACACTGTGTGTGCAAAGGTCCACAGGTGGGAGTGACAGGAGTGTGGGGTGGGGAAAGCCTTCCGCTCCCAGGCTGTCTGGACCTCCTCTCACCCTACCTCCATTCCAGGATCTGGTCACCTCTCTTGCCCTCAGGCTCATCCATGGTCTGGAGTACAGACTTCTGAATGCCACCTTCAAGGGCAACAACCTCACCTTGCAGACACCCACCATTCAGATACTGGCCTTCAAGCTGGGCTGCGACTTTGCAGGCCTCTCGCTGAACAGTGATGCTATGGAGCGGATTCCCCAGGTCAGAGATGGCCAGGAGATGGGGGGTGGCCAGTGCCTCCACCCCAGAAATCCTCTGGGGATTTGAGGTCTGAACTTTCCCTAGGATCCATCCATCCCCAGTCCCCACCAATCCTGGCTCTGTCCTAATGGCTGTGAGTTGCCTTTTCTGTAAAATGGGGCTGGTGTTCCTCATGTGAATGACAGAAATGGGATGTTTTGTGGCCCCTTTAAGTCAGTGTCCTCTTTCTGCTTTTGTAGGTCTGGGGGGAGGGGGGGCAGTGGAAGCAGAGGGAGAGACCAGGGAATCTGGGCTACTTTGAAGACCCTAGTGTGACTCCTGCTGAATGCGTGGGTGCTGGGGGTTGCAGGGGGAGAAGCTCCATCCTCTGGGGGCCCAGTTGGGTGAGGCAAGTAACCCAAATTCAAGGCCAGAGCAGCGTGGAGGGAAGACCTGGATCTTGGGAAGTTTGGGAACAGGTGCAGCCAGGAAGGAGGGTTCTGCAGGTGGAGGCTCTAGGGAAAGAAATGCTGGGGTGAGGTCAGGAGGGTTTCACAGGGAGTTGGGACTGATCTGGAGATGGACCCCAGGCTCAGCCTGTCTTTGGCCCTCGGCAGGCGCGGGCTCCTCACGCCATGCAGTTCCCCACTGAGCTCACCCAGAAGGCCTGCAGGGCACGCCCCAGGGAGCTCCGTCTCATCTGCATGTATTTCTTCACCGCTAGCTTTTTCCAGGTCAGTGCAGTGGTGGGCCGAGGATGGGCCCTGCAGGCACCCATGCCACCAGCCGGGCTCTTGGTGGGGACTAACCCACTGTGCATCCTGAACCTCCATTGCCTCTCTATGGGCCTGAGTTTTAGCAGAATGGTGGGAAGTGCAATTATAAAATGCAAATGAGGCCGAAGAAACCTACTTATGTATGTGCATGTCCCTAGGCAGGAGACAGACAGCAAGGTCCCAAGGTCCCTGTCCTCAGAGAACTTGGTATCTTGACAATTAGACTAGGACCTTAGAGACTTAATTTTAGCTCAAGGTTGATTATACCCATAGAGATACAAAATGTTGGGTGAGTCAGGGTGGTATTGGGGTCATTCCCAATGGGCAGTCCAGGAGGGCTTCTGGAGAAGGTGCCTTTTAACCTTGGTATTGAAAGTGTGTTAAGATAGTGGTGAGGTGGAAGGTACAAGGTTGGACTGCATTAAACAGAGGGGAGGTGGGGCAGGAGGGTGGTGAGAAGACAGCTTTCCAGGAGGGGACAGCATGTGCAAAGGCCGGGAGGTTGCCCCAAGTTGTACATATGGAAGGCATGCTGCTCTTCTCACCTAGGGAGGAGGGCCTGGAGAAGGGGGGCTCTGGGACCTCATCCAAGTCTCCTCATATCCCCTCCAGTCAGCCTTTCTTCTGTCGCCCTTCCAGAATGACAACTCACCTCTGCTCAATAACTATGTCCTGGGGGCCCAGCTGGGCCACGAACACGTGAACAACCTCAAGGAGCCCATCAACATCAGCTTCTGGCACAACCAAAGCCTGGTACTGTGGGGACGCCCCCATTTCCACCCCATCCTGCCCCCGTAAGACTGTCCTGGTGAACATTGGTTTGACCAAACTTAAACCTGTGGAACCATCGTGGAAACAAACTATTTGAATCTATCACACTTTGAAAAGTCCTGCCAAAGAAATAAGAGAGAGAAGCTTTTACTCATGGCATTAGTCAGGATTCTTTAAGCTGCAAGTGATAGAAAACCAACTCCAGCCAACTTAAGCACAAAAGGAAATTGATTGGCTCATGTAAATGAAATGTCTAGGGCTGGGCTGGCTTCAGGCATGGCTGGATCCAGGGGCTGTTATGATGCCATAATGGCTCAGTCTCTCTCCATCTCTCAGCAATGGTTTCCTGCCTTGGCTCTCTACTCTGTGGCAAGATGGCAGCTGAAGTGTTAGAGTTTCTTCCCCTCTTCTTAGAGGGTCTTTCTTGCCAGTGCAAACCGGGGTCCCAAGATGGAGTCCTAAAGGTCCAACTGGGCAACGTGTCCATCCCTGAACCATCACTGTGCCCAGGAGGGTGGAATGTGTGGATTGGCCAGGCCTGGGTCACATGGCCCAGGGATCAGGCTGGATTCATCTGACCTGCCCTTATGGGAGGGGGGGGGGTGTCCCCAAGAGAAGTGCAGATGCTGAAATGGGAAGCAGGAAGTCGGGCTGCAGGTGGGCAAGCCCTGACGCCTCTGCTCTGTCTCTAGCATGTCTGAAAAGCCCAGAGCCTTTGCGCTCTGGCCCTATCTTCCCATCAGCCTCTTCTCTGCACTCTCAATTTCACCATCACCTTTTCCTTTCATTCCTCTAGGCCTTTGCCCCTGCAGTTCCCTTCACCTGGAATGTTCTGGCCCCACTTCTATTGCAATCCAAGGTGTCCTCCAAGGCCCAGTGCCCCAAATGTCCCTTTCCTCCACAGGACTCCTCTACCCTTCTGTGGTTTTCCATAGCACTATCTGTGCCATATCCCCTGTCCCTCCACCCACATGGCTTGGTGTCAGGGTCGTCTGTGGATAAATCTCTCTCCCCCCCACTGGGAAGGCTCTTGACCGCTGTTGCTTCCCACAGGGAGAAGGCGGGAGGGGACAGTTGCTTATAGAGCACCTATTGTATAGGCCAGAGCTGGGCACTCAGCATTCCTCATTGCCTTCAATTTTTCCACTATCCTTATGACTTGGTATAAATGATCCCATTTTGCAGATGAATAAAGTAAGACTCAGAGAATCTATGTGACTTGCCCAAGTCACTCTCAGAGTCCATGGTGGAAGGGGGGCTGGAATCTGGGTCTGCCAGATGCCTGGTTAAATGTTGAAAAGGTGCAGTTGAGTCACCTTTGACCCCCACAATTTTCAGACCTTGATCCCTCCCCTGAACCCCTTGGATGCACCCAACTCCAGCATCTCCCCTTAGGAAGGCTACACAATGACCTGTGTCTTCTGGAAGGAGGGAGCCAGCAAGCGCCACTGGGGGGTCTGGAGTCCTGAGGGCTGTCGCACGGAGCAGCCCTCACCTTCCCAGGTGCTCTGCCGCTGCAACCACCTCAGCTACTTCGCTGTTCTCATGGTATGTGTGCATCCGGCCTGGGTGAGGGTAGGCAGAGCTGCAGAAGGCCCCACACTCAGGACAGAGAAGCAGGGCAAAGGCTGGTGTAAGGAATAGAAAATCCAACTCAGATGGGCTTCGGGGGGAATAAAAGAAACTTATGGGTTTATGTTCGTGAAAACACTGGGTTAGGCTTCAGGTATGGCTTGATCCAGGGGCTCAGTATCACCAAGACAGGCCTCATGTCCTACTAGCTTTTAGGCCAATGGAGTGAGAGCTTCTCTTACCCAATTCCACCAGCCAAAATCTTACGATTGAGTCCCACCCACCTAGAGTATGTCACATACCTACCCTTTAACCGATCACTGTGGGCAAGAGGAGGGAGGGTTCTGATAGGCCAGGAGCGGGGCACCTGTGCACACACAGTGGGAGAAGCGGGGGTCCACCCATGTGTGGAGACAGTGAGGGAAGGAGGCTCTTACAGAGGAAGGGGAGGTGGGAGTTGGGAGGGGGGAAAAGTCACTGTGTCTGCCATGGCTTTTTTTTTCCGAGCCAGGACCATAGTGAGGATTGTGGGGGGAAGGGGGCTTGGAGGTGGGGTCTTGCAGGTCTCTCCAGCTGAGCCTGGGGAAGGCATTTCCACGCGTCTGGCCTCCTGCCCCCTTCCTTCCCACAGCAACTCTCCCCAGCCCCACTCCCTGCCGAGTTGCTGGCACCGCTCACGTACATCTCCCTCGTGGGCTGCAGCATCTCCATCGTGGCTTCGCTGCTCACCCTCCTGCTGCACTTCCACTCCAGGTACCCCCTGCCCAGGTGCCAGGCTGCCCCCGCTGCTCCCCGGCTCCTTTCCCACGCGGTCCCAGAGTGGGAAGGGCTTCCCCCGAGGGCGGAGCCCGCAAGGCAGGAGACCAGCCCCACTGCCTGGCTGCTGTTGGCTCCCTGCCGCCTGGACCTGTGTCCCTGTCGTTGCGTGTCTGCGCCCAGGAGGTGGTGCTGCCTGGGCGACGTCCCCAGGCCACTAAGGGCCATGCTCCCACCTGCAGAAAGCAGAGTAACTTCATAACACGCATCCACATGAACCTGCACGCGTCCGTGCTGCTCCTGAACGTCGCCTTCCTGCTGAGCCCCGCACTGGCCGTGCTCTCCGTGCCCGGGCCGGCGTGCGTGGCGCTGGCCGCCTTCCTGCACTACGCACTGCTCAGCTGCCTCACCTGGATGGCCATTGAGGGCTTCAACCTCTACCTCCTCCTGGGGCGCGTCTACAACATCTACATCCGGAGATACGTGCCCAAGCTCTGCGCAGTGGGCTGGGGTAAGCCCAGCCTCCCTTCCCTCTGGCTTCCAGAGACTTCCAGCTGGGCCTGTCCTTCTCTTCCTCTTCCTCTTCCTCTTCAACGTAGTGACCACTGCCATGACCACCTGTCATCATCTCTGCCAACACCCACACTACTTCCGACATTACTATTCTATCATCACTGCCACCTCCATCGCCACCTGTACCTCCACCACCTCCACCTCCCACACCACCACCTCCGCCACCTTCACCTCCACCACCCCCACCTTCAACACCACCATCACCTCCACCACCTCCACCTTCATCACCACCATCACCTCCACCACCTCCACCTTCATCACCACCATCACCTCCACCACCTCCACCTTCATCGCCACCATCACCTCCACCACCTCCACCTTCATCGCCACCATCACCTCCACCACCTCCACCTTCATCGCCACCATCACCTCCACCACCACTTTAACTACATCCCCACCACCACCTCCATCATCGCCACCATCCTCAACCTCGTCTTCACCACTCTCTCTGGCACCACTGTCATTGGTATCTCTAGCACCATCCTAGCCCCTCTCTACTATCTATCTATCTGTTCCCTAGCCCTCTCTCCCATTAACTCCCAGCCACCACCTCCCCAGTGTGACCACCACAGCCGCCACTACCGTCCCACCTTAGAGCCCTCACTCACATACCTGGGAGAACAGCCTCCTCTGAGTCCACCCGGCTAATTGCTGTGAAGCTGGGCCACAGGACAGGGGCTGGGGCTCAGAACAGACTCTTTCCCTATTCACCTCTTGCCCAGGAGAATTCTGTTTCAGCAGCCCGAGAGACCCACAGCCAGCTCATCCCTGGGGACTCCTGACAGATGCTGAGCCTTTGTCTCCCCCCCCCAGGGGTCCCAGCCTGCCTGGTGTTGCTCCTCCTTGCCATCAAGAACTCATCTTATGGACGCCGCATAATCCCACTCTCTGGCAGCCAGGGAAACAGCACGGGCTTCCAGAACATGTCCATGTGAGTGCACCCTGGGCTCTCTGGCCTTGGCAGAAGGACCACCTGGCCCTGGGACTCTGAACAGGGTGTCCTGCAAGCAGGGCACTGGCTGTGGGACAAGGAGGTGGTCGTTGCTTAGACAAGGGGTAGTTTCCAGGGGGCTTTGTCACATTTCTTCTGCTGGGTCCCCAAGGTCTCCTGTGGGGCAGGCTCAAGTTCTATGCCATCTAATTCCAGGAAGCTATGACCTGGACTCCAGCACCCGCTCACGGGCCTCTGAGACCTCTGCCTCCTGGCAGCACACAGCTGCGGGCCCAGCCCCCTCGAGCTCTCAGGCTCTGCTGTGGGGCTTGGCCTGAGCCTGAGTGTGCTCTCGTCCCACCACCTTGCTTCGGGCTCCGGCTCAGACCGTGAGGCTTCAAGTCCCACCTTTGTCTCTTACTAGTGTGTGTTTTTAAACCAGAGCCTCAGTTTCCTCATCTGTAGAATGGGGATGATTACGTACCTGCCTCATAGGGTCATCATGAGGATTGACTGGGCTAATCTACTGAAAGTATGTGACAATGTCTGGGGAAAAGGCAACACTCCTCATGAAGGTGTCTTGGGGAGCAAAAGGTTGGAAAAGAGGCAAGCAGGGGCTGCAGGCAGGGGGCTGGGGTGGCAAGTGGGTCCTATCGTGGTGGCTTGGCTGGAAAGCCGGGCCCAAGACTTCACCCCGTGTGCAGTTGGGCAAGAAACAAGAGGACTCAGCTGGGACACTGGCCCAGATTCAAGAGGCAGTCCCCAGGCCCAAGAGCCCACGGCTTCCCTCAGCCTTGAGAGCCACACTGACCCTGACACTTCGCCTTTCCCCTGCAGGTGCTGGATACGAAACCCTGAGGTGCACTATGTCTTGGTCATGGGCTATGGTGGCCTCACGACCCTTTTCAACCTTGTGGTGTTGGCCTGGGCACTGTGGGCCCTGCGCAGGCTGAAGGCTCGGAAGGAGGCGCCAGGCACCTGGGCCTGCAGGGACACCGTCACCGTGCTGGGCCTCACTGTGCTGCTGGGCACCACCTGGGCCCTGGCTTTCTTCTCCTTCGGCATCTTCCTGCTGCCCCAGCTCTTCCTCTTCACCATCTTCAACTCTCTCTACGGTGGGTTCTATGGGCAGCCTGGAGGAAGCCCCCTGACAAGCCTGTTAGGGGCTACTCCCTCCCAGAGCAAGGGGCGCTGCTGCGTAGTCCACACAAAGGCGCCCTCTGGACTAGCAGTGGCCTGGTCCTCCCGCTCCTGTGCTCCACCCCTTCTGGCCTCCAGCAGCAAGGAATTCTGAGCATTACTCCTGGGCCTCGGGGAGGACCGACTCACCCCAACCGAGATGGTCCCTGTATCCTGGGAGAGGCCCGCGCTGCTCCCCCGCTGCTCTCACTGACCAGCCTTTTGCTTGCAGGTTTCTTCCTCTTCTTGTGGTTCTGGTCCCAGAGGTGTCGCGCAGAGGCGGAGGCGGAGGCGGAGGCAGAGAGGGAGGCGTTCGACTCCTCCCAGATGATGCAGTAGCCTGGACCTCCTGGCCTGGAACCGCCAACCTCTCTGGCCTAAATCCCAAGGCCCTGGCTTCCACCAGTGATGGTGGCAGGCCAGCTGCTGGACACCATAGGCCTTGTGCCCTCTAGGGAGGTTTTCCACCTCCATGGCTTACCCGGGTCCAGAGGGAAATGCCCAGAATGACCTTGGTGTTCTACTCCGGGGCAGGTCCAACCCCATGAGGGGCAGCAAACTTCACCCTGGTGCTTGGGCCCAGCTGGCCAGGCCTATGGACAGAGCTCTGGCCTGGGAGCCAGGCCATGTTTCAAGGCTTGGCTCTGCGTCTTACTGTATGACTTTGGGCCTGTCATTTCTCACTGACGCTTGGTTTCCACATCTGACATGAGGCTGATGGTGCTCTGGTCCTGCCTAGGTTAAGAGCTTTGTGAAGCCTGAATAAAGCCAGGAGGAAGAGGGTCCATAGAGGACCCCGTTAACTGCATCTGCCTGCTGGGCCGTGCCACCTTCCTCCTGGCCACATCCTGGCCCAGTGCCCAGGGCTTAGAGACCCACCCACTGTCTGGGACCTCATCAACCTATGCCCAAGGCCTCTTTTCCTTTAATCCCCCCAAAATGATGATGACCCCAACTCCATGCCCACCGTTCTCAAAGATCAGGAAGCCCAGTCTTTCCCAGAGGCTCCTCCTCCCTCCAGTGCTTCCAAGTCTCCCTTGGCCATTTAGACCAGTGGCTGGGGCCATAGAGCTTCCAGGGGGTAGGAGGGAAATGCCCCTTTTCCCTACACCTGAGCCAGCTGGGCCTCAGTGACCAAGCTATTTGATGACTGGGTAGAATTGAACTTCCCTTGGTAGGCATTAGGGTGTGGGTTCTAAGTCCAAACTCAGGCCACAGTTGCAGAGAATCACCATTGCCCTTGACCTGTCCGTCAGACTAAGTGGGAAATTCATGAAGCTAGAGCCTTTCCCAGGCTGCACACCAGGGGGCGATATTGGCCTGTGTGCAGAGACCATTGGCACCCAAACCGCTCTGGAAATGCTGAGGTCACCTGTGAACATGACCAAGCAGAGGGAGAGGTCCTGCCTCCAAGACTGCGCCTGCTGAGAGACCAGGAGGAGGAGTGTCAGCACTGTTCACATAGCCGTTTCTTGCTTCACCCAACACAGCTGCCCACTCCGGCTCCTGGGGTCTCGCGCTCAGTGGGCTGGGGTAGGCCCTCAGGGCCCTGCTCCAGGCCATCAAGTGGGTTTTAATGACTTTGAATGGCACAGGGGAGGAACTGCAGCTGGATCCCTTTCGTTTTGCCCTTTGTTCATTTCCTGATGCAAAGAACCCTTCACTAGGTGGTAAGTGATGCGGGCTCCGGAGCTAGCCGGCCTGGGCTTAAAGGCCAGCTCTGCCACTTGCTAACTAAGTGACTGTGGACAAGCCACTCAACCTCTCTGTGCCTTAGTTTTCTCACCTGTAAATAGGTGGGAACATAAGTAGGACTTGTTTTGAAGGTTAAATAAAACAGTCCATGTAAAGAGGCTTAGCACAGAGTAACTGCTCAACAAATGATTATTAGTGTTCTCATTAGTATTTTTGCTATTATTTTTAACAGTGTCAGCTAAGTCTCAGAGGCCAACCTGTCTAAGCCCCAGGCCCAGGCCTGCTCAACATCACAGTCCCAGCTCCTCACTGAGCACATTCTGCGGCCCCTTGGCTGGGCCACCTCCTCCCACTTCCTTTCCCAGAGTGGCCTTTGCTCCAGCCTCGGTGGCCTTCGGCTGTTTTAGGAATATTCCCCACACAATGCAGCCCCCCTGCTGTAGCCACATGTCCCCCCAACCCCACCCTTCCATTCTCCAATCCTCTGCTCTATTTAAATACTTGGTGGCTCACAAAACACTTCTTCCATGGAATCTCTCCAATTGCCCTGCAGAGAAACTGTCTTTCCTGTTCTGACTCCAAGCAAAGTGAACCCCATCTCTATCAGGGTGATGTGAGTCCCCATTCTAGCCCCCCTGGTTTAGCCCAGCCTTGACTTGTACAGGGCTCCCTAGGCCTTGGGGTGGCTCCAATGTTAATAAGATGCTAAGGGATCATAGGAACCCCCGGCCCTTCTCTTGGGCAGCTCTGGGGAGTGGTGACCCAGGCTGGGTTGGCAGCCTGGTGAAGCGGGGCCTTGCCTGGGACCTCTCTTTTCACCCCCAGCTCAGGCCTGGCCTCTTAGACCCCGCTAAGGGTCTAAGCCTAGGGCTACTCAAGAGAGGATGTGGCCAGGGTGACACAGAATGGGTCTGGTACTTCCAGGAATTGGCCTCAGGTATGTGGCCCTGAGCCCCATTCGGGTCCAGGCTCTGGGATGGGACCACTTCCAGGAAATGCTTCACCGGACATGGGGGCAGGGATGAGTGAATTTTATTCCGTGGAAATTTACTTCAATAAAACTGGCATTTAAAAACATGATAGAATGAAGAGAAACTGACCAATCTACCATCAACATAGGATATTTCAAATGCTTCTCTTAATTGTTGACCGTAAAGCTGAAAAAAATGGACCAGATATAGAAGATTTGAACAACATGAGTACAAAGCTCAACCTAATGGACATTGATTGAATTCTGCATCCCACAGTCAGGCTGTTCCCAACCACTTATGGACCATTTTTTAAAAATTGATTGCATACTAGCTTAGAAAGCAAGCTCCAAAAAATCTCAAAGAATAGACATTATACAGGGCACATTCTTTGATCTCAATTCAATGAAGTTAGATGGTAATAACAAAAAATAATTTTTAAAATCCTGTATATTTAGAAATTTGTCACAAGGATAAACAGATTGACCAAAGGAACAGGAAAGAGTCTGGGAACAGATGGGGGCATATTTGATGGTGGAAGTTTGCAGACCAGCGGGCAGGAGGGGCTGTTTGGTACATGGAACAGGTAAAATTGGTCGTGCTTGAGGGAAAGTGTGCAATGGAGTCGCTGCTTTACAATATACTCAGGAACCAGGCAATGGAAACAGTGTGATGTGTGTGAACAAAATTGGGGGTGCAAACATGTCACATTTCATTGTTAATTTGTACATCACAATAGACTCTAACACCCCCATCCCCTGCATGAGCAGGACATTCAGCAAGTCGTTGTGGAGAAGGCCCTTGAGTTAAATGACAACCTGGGAAACGCGTGTTCCTCCTGGAAGGAGGGGAAACGTCAGCCCTCATGGTCACTGCTGATGTCCTATTCAAGACCACGGGGGGAGGGTTCTCTCATGCTGGCTCCTGCCCTGCCCCTTCCAGGCTTCCTGGTCCAGGGGAAGCTTTGCTGAGGCTGAGAAGCTGCCTCTCAGAGACACCTCAGACCTTCCTTCCAGCTGTCCCCCACTGTGGGGACCTCTAGTCTTAGGCAGGTCCTGGCTTCGTTCCCTCGCCCCAGGCACCCAGGATGCAGGAACACCAACCTCCCCAGAGCCAGAGCCTGGAACCTGGAGCCTGCAGCCTGCAGCCTGGGGCTGGCTGTTTCCTTAGGCGGGGGTGTTAGGGCAGGGTGAGGGGTGTCACCCGGCCTGGCAAGAAGGTGTCTAGCTGAGACCTTAATGTTGAATAGGATAGGACAGGGGAAGGGGGAGGGAGATAAGTGTTTCGGCAAAGGCTTGGGGTTGGGGTGTGAAGAGGAGAGGGAGAGAGAGAGAGAGGGCAAACAACTGGGCTTGGTGGGTAGGATGTCAGTGGGAGGGACAAGAGAGAAATCGGAAGGGTGAGAAGGGACCGAAGAAGGGACCAGGCTCTGAGAGGTGTTGGGAGGTGGAACCCACCAGGTGGAATGCCTGGGTATTGGGGAGTCATCAAAGCTGATTCTTGGGCTCCTGGGTCGTTGGGGTGGCCTGTCTCTAAGTTGAATGGGGAGCCCAAGAAGGAAGGACAAGTGGTGTGTGTGTCGGTTTTATTGATTTAATTATTTACTTTTAAGCATTAAAAAGATTGTGAACTATAGAGCAGGCACAGGATATACACACAATTTAACACAAATTATAGAGCAAATCCCCATGTCACCGCCAGCCCAGAAGCCCCCAACCCCCAGCCTCCATTCCACAGCTCCCTGCTCCGGAGAGGGAGACATCCTTATGTTACAGGAACCACTTCCTCCCTTTTGATAGTTTTACCACCTGAATCTGCACCACTAAACAATAGAGTTCTGGTTTTGCCTGTTTTGGAAGACGGTGTAAATAGAACCCTTCCTTCAACTCACCATTCTGTTTGCCAGAGTCATCTGGGGTGTCATGTGTAGATATTGTGTATCTGTGTTCATTGCTGTATGCTATTCCAGTAAGGACCACACTACAAGTTATAGCCCATTCTGCTGCTGCTGGACATCTGCAGATCGAGCCATTATTGGAAGCAATGCTCCAAGAGTATTCTCATATGTAAGAGAGTGTGTGTATGTATATATATATATACACACACACACACATATATATATATATAGGCTTCTCCATGCTGTATATCTGGGAGCAGAATTTCCAGGCTACAGGTCGTAGGTATCTTTGACTTCACTAGATGATGCCAGTTTTCTGAAGTGGTAAAACAGAGTCCCACCCAGCCTGAGCGACTGTTCCCATGGCTCCTTGGTGCCACACTTGGTACTGCTAATTTCTGGTAATCTGCTGAGTGTGCAGTGGTATCTCATTGCTAGTGTACCCAACTGGGCGGCTGTGGCTTAAGTCTTTCATCAGGTTGTAGTCAAGTTGATGGCTAGGGCTGTGGTCTCACCTGAAGGCTTGACTGTGGAAGGGACTAACAGGGCTGCTTCATGATGTGGCAGCTGGCTTCCTCCAGAGCAAGGGATCTGAGAGAGAAGGAGACAGAGGACCCAAGAGGGAAGCCAGAGTCTTTTAATAACCTAATATCAGAAATGACATCTTATGATTTCTGCCATATTCTATTCATTAGAAGTGAGTTGGTCAATACAGCCCACACAAGGGTAGGGGGCTACAGAAAGGCATGACCACCAGGACTTGGGAGGCATTTGGGACCAGCTTATAGTGAATAGGGTCTTTTCCAATGATTTTTTAAAAATTTTATTTTCTAATTGTGGCTACTATATAGTATTGCATAATGATATTTTAATATTGATTTTTGTATCCAACCTTAGTAAACTCTAATTTACTCTTAGTAAATTCTAGTGTATCTGTAAAAAATTTTTATGTACTTATCATATCATCTATGAGTGATAAAGTTTCTTTTTCTTTCCAATTCTTGTGTGTTTCTTTTCTTCTCCTTTCCTTACTGTACGGGCTGGGTCTTACATAACAACATCAAACAGCTGTAGTAAAAACGGGCTTCCGCATCTTGCTACCAATTTCAAAGGGAAAGTTTTTGACAGTTTCACCTTAAAGTATAAGATTTGCTATAGGGTTTTTTGTTCATTTTTTTTGTTTTAAAAACGCACCATTGGTGCAGCACCCAGGGCCTGGGAGGAGGTGCTTTGAGGCGGCCAGGGGACACCACAGCCGGCCTGCTGCTGTGAGCAGGTGGGTTGTGAGCCCGGCCTGGCGCTCCCCTGAAGACCACCACACCTCTCCTCTCGGTTATGAGAGGTCTCCAGACAGCTCCATTCCAGGTGCTCCTGGAGCACGTCCTCCGGGCACACCATCCCTGCAGGCCCGCAAATCCCTCTGCTCAGACACAGCGTGAGCCCCAGGAAGTCTGTGTTCCCCTTTGATGGCAGCCTGGAGAGACTAGTCCAGCCAGAAGAACCTTGAAGGTAGAGGGTAATTTTTCTTTCCTGGCATCTGATGGACCCCAATTTATGTATCCATTCACCCTATGAAGGACATCTTGATTGCCTCCTAGTCTTGGTGATTATGAACAAAGTTGCTATAAACATCCCTGCCCTTGATAACCTGCTGCCTCCCTTATGGCTGGAGTTCATCCCATCTGTTTTCTTTACTCCTGCAAAAATAGATGGCTCCCTGAATTTTTCTTCAAATGATGAAGAATGGGTAGGAAGGCAGGTAAAAACAAAGGATGACATAACAGGAGGTGGCCCAAAGGACTTTGCAGGTGTAATTAAGGTTACAGACTTTTACATGGCAATATTATTCAGGATTATCTGTGCATGCCCAGCCTAATCACATGGGTGCTAAAAAAGGCACAGCGCTTTCTCTAGCTGGACTCAGAGATGCAGAGTGTTTCAGGGACTTGACCTGCTGTTGAAGGAGGGGCTGCAAGGAAAGCACGAGAAGGGATGTGGGCAGCCTCTTGGAGCAAAGATCAGCCTTGGTTGAGAGCCAGCAAGAAAACGGGGCCTTGGTCTACAACAAACAGAATGGAACTGAATTTAGACAAGAGCTTCAATGAAGACTTGTTCCCAGAGCCCATAGAAAGCCTCGAAGCCCTGCTGAGCGGGACCATGATTTCCACCTAGGCAGAGAGCCAGCTGAGCCATACCGAGCCCAATGGGCTTCCAGGACTGTGAACTAACAGATGGGCGTTGTCTGAAGACATTAAGTAGTAATTCTTAGGGCAGCAGTAAAAATAACAAATACAGTGTGTACGTGTGAACTAAACAGACTCGTGCCCACTAACAAAGCCGAAACAAAACACACCCTTTATCAGATTTAGGAAGTTCCTTTTATTTCTAGTTCTCTAGGGTTGTGTTCTTTTTTCTTCTTTTTTAAAATCCTTACCTGAGGATATTTTTTCTACTCCTTTTCAGAAAAAGTGGAAGGGAGAGAGAGAGAGAGAGAGAGAGAGAGAAACATTGATGTGAGAGAGACACATTGATTGGTTGCCAGCCTGCAACCAAGGCCGTTGCCCTTGGCCGGAATCAAACCCAGAACCCTTCAGTCCATGGGCCGACACTCTAACCACTGAGCCAAAGCAGCTAGGGCTTTTTTTCTTCTTTTTATATCATGAGTGGATATTGAATTTTGCTGAGCATCTCTTTTGTGCATATTTTGATGATCATTCGAATATTTTCACCTTTATCTATCAAAGGTTATGAATTACGTTATTTTTCCCCCACTGTTAAATTTAACACTTTACCTACTCTATTCTTTTTTTGTACCTTTAACCTTCCATCTAGCTAATTTTCCTTCTGCTTCAAGTTCATGTTTCAGAACTTTCTTTAGTGCTGGTGATGAACTTTCAAGGGTTTTTGTTGTTGTTTGTTTATTTTTGCCAGAAAATACCTTTATTTTGCCTTCATTCTTGAAAGATATTTTAGCTGACTATAGATGGCAGTTATTTTGTTTCATAAGA